AGGTACTTGTCCGACGAGAGCCCTGCTATGGCGAGAAGGAGCTGCTCCAGAGCAGATCACGACGCACCTACTGGCAGGCATCCCACATCATGCATTGGTGGGATACGAGCAAAGCATCACACACGTCAACCCGACACCAACCCGGCTTAGACGCACGGCAACATACACACTAGAGCGCAGCCCCAACGACGGGGAAAAAGAGCGACTTCAAGAGCTAATCGACCAGGAGGTGGGCCCCCCCGCTACCTGAATGAGGACACGGACCCCCCGCTTCTCGACCGCTGGCACTACTGGCACATGAGAGCGGAGAAGGCGCTGAGGCTGGCAGTCGAGCATGGCCTACTTTCAGTGCAAAGCGAAGCCGAGAGGGACAAAGACTCACAGCCAACCTCACGGCCGACATCACACTCCCCAGCTCACAGACCCGACGAGACGATCGCCCTGCGACGACTCCGACGACTGCACCGACGGCTGGCAGAACACCTACGCCAAGGGGCTCCAGGAGCCACCACACTGGAGACCAAGCACTACCCTCAGCTTGCTGCCGCGGCAGTGGACGGTCTGGTCCAAGTCAAGGCAGTAGGCATCCCTACCTATGCTGATGCACTGGACTGGATATCTCAGGGGATCACCATCGAGCAGTACCAGATGCAGAAGAGGAATGCCGCACAGTGGCGACAGCGTTTCGCGAGCTGGAGCAACGACGTGTGGAAAGCGGCCACCCCACTCTTCAAGGGAGGCCGACCAGCACCAGCCCACGCCGCCACAGACATGCGCGAGCAGAGGGCCAAACATTGGAAGCCAGACAACTACGACAACACGGGCTACGTGAATGCATGGAGACAACATGCCTCGGCAGTAGCGTTCCCGAAGTCGACACACGCACAGGACTGGATGCCCACGTTGGATACCTATGTGGCAGCAGTCCGACAAGTCAAAGGATGCCCTGGACTCGACGGCTGGACAAGTCGTGAGGTCAAGGCGTTGGAGAAGATATACCCCACCATCATCGAGGAGCTGTACGATATGTGGGTCATGGCATCACAACAAGCAGTTGAGCTCCGAGGTAGACTACCGCCAGAAGTGCTGCACGCCATATTTTCCTGGCGGGTAGCTGGCATCCCGAAGAACGAGGAGGCCACGCGTCCCATCTCCATGGGATCGGTGCTGATGAGAGCCTGGCTACGGGCCCTGGCAACGGCATCTGCTTCTCCTCCAGACCTGCCTGCAGTGGGCCAACCGCAGACGTACTTCGGTGGTGCACGCTGTATCCAAGTGGCTGAAAGATTGCACAGAAGGTCAGTGTGGCGCGGAGATGGACCTCTCAGCGTGTTTTGACCAAGTGGGTCACGACCTCGCCTTGGAAGCGGCTGACCACTCAGCCATACCGTATGCCGTCATGTACACATGCTACGCCGCGTGGAAGGGCCCGAGGATCTGCTGTATTCAGGGCGAGTTTGCACCACCACTGGACCCGTGCCGAGGCCTACCTCAGGGCGACAGCACGGCACCTTGTACACTCATATCGACGCTTGTACCATGGGTACCGATATCACAGGGACACGCTTTTATGGATGACAGAAGCCTGGTAGCTCAGAATACGGACGACCTCGACAAGGACTTGCAGATGACACAGCAGTTCGACACGTCCATCGGGTATTGTGAGAACCAGAGTAAAAGGCAACGCTGGAGTATAGATGACCCTGTTCCTGTCCAAGTGGAGCATCTGGGTATTCTTGCTACTCCTACAGACCACGCCGTCCCCATCATCCCGAGGGGCGGGTGGCAGAAGCTCGAGACCGCCATCTCAGTGCTGGCCGCCATCCCAGGCAGCCACCAAGTACGACTCAGGCTGGCCTTTGCTTATGTGAGGCCGCTTTGGACATGGGCGTTGCCTATCGTGACACCGCCACCAAGACGATTTGCGAGGCTACTGTGCAGAGCTCTTTGGAAGACGGGCTCTCGATGGTGGTGTTTCGGACGCTATTGGGCACAAAACGTATTGTTGCATCCTGAATATTCAGCAGCGGTTCTTGGATTTCGAAAGCTTGTGGATGAGAGCCTGGTGTGGAGTGATTTTCTGGACACGACTCTCTCTGAGTATGCTCGAGTATTGGGATTATCCTTTATTCGTTATTCGCCCACCCAGGGCGCTGTTCTTGAAGTGGATTCGCGAGATGACTTCAGAGCCAGGCACGCAGTGGAGCACGTCGTGGGCGACGACTGGAAGTTCACCACCAACAGCAAGGCCGCCCAGCATGCTCTCAGAAGCATAGCACGCATCAGATGCCTCCAGCAGGTTGTGCGAACGAGATATGACGCCGAGGAGATTGACGACGTTGACGTGCAGGCATCTTCTAGCAAAATATATTCAAAGTGGCTCATGAGTTTGAGTGAGGAAGACCGCACTCTTTTGGCGGTCTTCAGGTCGGGGGCAGTCACCTCCGAGACACGACGACGAACTGGATTCGATTGTAAGCACTGTGGGGCATCGACCCCAAGTTTTCGCCACGCCTTCGCTGAGTGCCCCAGGCATGCCGGTGATCGACGAGTTGTTGAAGACCGCTACGATATTCCCCCGACGTTCTGGACAAGCGTGCCGAGGGTGACGAGTAAAAGTGGCTGGATCGTTCTATCATAAAATGATTGTCCATGTGTACGTGCGAGAATGCTCACGGCGACATGCGCCCCTGGCTTGAGCTTTCTCAGGAAAGGAGTTGACGACATGCTCACCGACCCCACTCCGCCACCTCGAGCGCGTGGTCCGGCGAGGCTTATTCACTAACATGTTACGTATGAGATTATCTCATTCAACTTTTCTCTGGCGGGGCGCATTATGACGGGCATCGCGTCAAGCTGGGCGCCGAAACCAGAGTACTGGGCCTGCTCGTCTAGAAGCCCGCCCTCGAAACACTCGAACGTCCGCTCCATGTCCACGCCACCCTCCGCGACCGTGCACTTGGAGCCGTGCGCGTCGGTCAGGGCGTCGGCATCATCGATGTCGGGGCACTGGGAGACCTCGCCCGCGATGTCCCCCGTGCCAAGGTTCGCGTCCTGCGACGCGGGCTTCTCGGCCAGGGAGTGTTCCTCCACGGCGTCCTCCGCATCGTCGCTGTCATGCGCATCCGCGCTCACGGCCCCGACATCCTCCTCGGCAGTGGAGCCGACTTTTTCGATCGCGAGCGATACGGAGGCGCCGCACGCCGCCAAAGCCACAGCGCGCCAGCTGCGGCCCGAATTGCGCAAGGAGGGGGGAAGAGGAGAGACAGCGAGAGACGCAGTGGAGCCGACGAGCACCTCCAGCACCATACCTCCGACGCCTGGCCGACGTCGCCGCGGGAGGAGGCAGGGCGGGAGGGGCCGTCCTCCGCCGCGTCGGCCGCCTCGGCGCGGCGCCGCGGCCCCCGCGCGCGGCGCCACGCCTCGCGCGCTGCGGCGGGCATCCGCCTGCGCGCCAACGCCGACCCCGGCGTGCCGTGCCCGATCCCGCACGCCGGCGCGGCCCGCCGCCACTCCCGAGCCCACTTCCGTGAGGTGCGGCCTCGCCAGCCGCTCCCGAGCCCCCTTCCGGGCGCCGCGCCGCCGCGTCGAGGGCGACCTCCGCGCCCGCGCGGAGGACCACAGCGGCGACGGCGGCGAGATGCTGGCGCCCGCCGCCACCCTCCGCCGCGCCCACCACCGCTGCCCGCACGAGCGGGGCTAGCGCCACCATGACCTGGCAGCGATCGACCGTGGCCATCGCATGTGCCGCAAAGATAAGGGAAGGAGACAGAGCCGCCCTCTCCTACCAAGGGAGAGGCCCGCCGCGCTCCTCGCCTGCCTGGCGCCCACGGCAGGCTAGAGCCAAAATGGCTACGGATGTGTGTGTGTGTGCGTGTGAGACAGTGTGAGTGTGAGTGTGAGTGTGAGTGTGAGTGTGAGTGTGAGTGTGAGTGTGATAATGTGTTTGTAGGTGTGTGTGTGTGTGTGTTTGTGTGTGTGTGCGCGCGTGTGTGTGTGTGTGCGTGTGTGGTTGCGTTTGTGTGTGGTGGTATTTGTGTTTGTGTGTGTTTGCGTTGGTGCTTGTGTTTATGTGTGTGTGTGTGTGCCCGGCTCTCGCAGAGGGCGGCTGCGTCATGTGCATCCAGCTTCCTGGTAGTCAATGCTGGCGCCCGAGCTGTCTCACCCCATTGCAGCACGGGGTTCTCGGTCGGAATGGCGCTCTCACCCTCGGCGCCGGCCACATCCTAGCTCGCTCTCGCACTGGCGCATGCCATTTCCTCACAGAAAACGGTGCTCTAGTCTCGGCAATGGCCACTGCCCTCGGCCAAGCGGTATGCTGTCGACTCTATGACATCCACGTTCTGGTGTTTGGACGGCCACCTGGACTCGCACGTGACGAGCAGAGCTCACCGCTTGTCGCTGACGCCTTCAGCATGCTGGTATCGCCTCGGTGCGAACCACATTGTATTAAAACATGTGCCAACTGCTGCGGGTTGCTACTGGTTGCTGCCTCCAGCTGCGGCTTGCTGCTGCTTGCCGCTGCTGGTTGCTGATTGCTGCTGATTGCTGATGTTTGCTGCTGCTTAGCGCTGCGTGCCGTTGTTGGCTGCTGCTTGCTGCTGCTTGCTGCTTCTTGCCGATGCTTGCTGGCGCTTTTTGTCGCTTGGCTACTGCCTGCTGCTTGCTGCTGATTGATGACGAGGTTTGCTCTGATGGTGCCGCTGCTGGCGGAGGCTCTCGCAGCACTTTGGAGGCTCTTGGTTCTTAGGGCCGACTCGACTTCGAGGACCCTCGACAGCAGTTCGAAAGGATCATAAGGATGCGCGGTAAGGATGCGAGGCCCCTGGACGCCCATGGCTAAGAGCTGAGAGCCAGGATGGGCCGAGATGAAAGGATGCGAGGGTTCTCGGGGAAAGCTTTGTTTCCTGACGACGAAATTGACTGTAACTGGGCGACGGAAACAAGGATGCCCTCAACACACCTTGGGGCTGTCCCCGATGGTTGCACCCTCTCGGCTCCTTGTCTCTCTCCTCCTCCTCGTGCAACCGCTGCGCCTGTCGGTCTCTGATTTGCTCAACGATCACCTTGGAGCCGGTTCGCTGCTGCTCCAGGCGCTCCCTCTCGCGCAACTCGTACATCCTGAGGGCTTTCACCCTGTCGATCTCCATCATCGCGTCCAGCTGCTTCTCCTCCTCTTCCCTCTCTGCCTGCATCAGCGCCTTCTCCTCCATCTGCGCGTCTCGGATCGTCACTACTTTGGACATCTGCATCAGCTGCTTGAGATGCTTCACGTCGTCCGAGTTCTCGTCCTGGAGCTGCTTGGCCCTGTCGGGAGCCACTTGCTATGCACAAGCGCACTACTGTCGACACCATGGCGCTCAGGGGGCCCGAACTGACCTCCCACATTCAGGTCAGGAAGGGGGGTCGGGATGAAGGACGAGAAAACTGGAGGAGAAAAGAGGAGAAAGACAGGAAGAGGAGGGGGAGACGAGGAGGAGACGAGGAGGAGGATGAGGGAGGGAGGGAGGGTAGGAGGAAAGGCGAGAAATGAGAGAGAGAGAGAGAGAGAGAAAGTCCGACAGAGAGGGAGATAAAGAGGGAGAGGGAGAAAGAGAGGGAGAGAGAGAGAACTGGCTAGGAAAGAGAGAGAGAGAGAGGGAAAGAGGTAGAGAGAGAAGGAAACGCGAACAACAACAAACACATCATAGATATGAGCATGAGGAGGGTATGATAATGTTGCAGCATGACAGCGCATGGCATAGCACGACCTGTGCACATCGTGCCGCTCCAGCGCAGTAGAGCATCGAATCGCACAACGTAGCGCGTCATAACGCATCATGGCATACCATGGCATATCGTAGCACGTCGGAGCAGAACAGAGAGCATCTAAGTCTGATGTCAGCGTAGGGTTCCCAGCACAAATAACAACATCTGAGGCGACCCTCATGCAGAAGGCACCCATGACGCAACATCACGAGGGGGAGGCCATGAGTTAGTGACGGTTGTCTCCAGCCCGTCCTCTCTGTGAAAGGGTTCTGCTTAGCGCGGCCGTCCCTCTCGGCTTCCTCCTCCATCAACTTCTTCTTGCGCGCCTCCTCCATCTGCAAGATCTTGTTTTTCCTCGCCGCGGCCCTCTCCATCTTTTCGGCATTCTCCGCGTCCTGCCGGAGCTTCTGGGCCGTCTCCTCCTCCTCGCACGGGACACCGCGAAGCCACTTGCCAGAGAGGAGGAGGATGCGCTGCAATGAGATGCGATCGACCCGCGCAGGGAGGAGCAAAAAAATCCTATAGGAATTCGGCCCCCAGTTGGCAAATGTCAAATGTTGTAGGCGGTGGCGGCGTATAGTGGACGCCAGTCCGCAAGAAACCTCCCACGAGAAGCCCAACCCTGAGCCCCTGGGCGTCCACTGATGTCTGGCGTGGGAACGTCACGCTTCCCATCGCAAAACCATCGAAACCCCGGAGAAGCCCAGGGGCACCCGGGAGGCGAGCAGGGCGTCTCTTGGCACGGGTCCCCGCTGTAGCCCCCCTCTCCCAGTGCCAGGCTACCGACGCGCTCGGGTCTCACAAAAAGTCAGGACCCCGGCCCGAAATCACATGCACCATGACCAGCGCGAGCCCCAACCTCCTCTCTCCACCCTCCCTCCCTGCCTCCCTTCATGCCTCCCTCCCTCCCTCCCCCTCTCTCTCTCTCCGTCCCTCCTCCCTCCCCCTCCTTCCTCCCTCCCTCCCTCCCCCTCGTCACTCCCTCCACAATTACACAATATGAAAATACTCTCCCACTTCCCCTGATGGCGTCCCGAAGATATCCGACACCCCCCCGCGTATTGTTTTTTACACACAGGATTCCCGGGAAACGGGTTTTCGCTTGTGCTTTTTTTCAAAATGATGTTCTCGCTGAGGCGCCGGCCTCATCTCTGCTCCCGAATCGTTCCGAATCGTGCTCCCGCTGCAGCGTGGGCCTCATTTTCGCATCGGTGTTTGGCCTCTGTCGTTCAGGATGGCGTTCTCGCCCCAGCGCGGGCCTTTTTCTCGCGCGCCCATCCGCCCGCCACCACCGCGCCGCAACACCACCACCACCACCACCACCACCACAACCACCACCAGCACCACCACTACCACCACCAGCACCACCATCACCACCACCACCACAACCACCACCACCACCACCACCACCACCACCACCACCACCACCATAACCACACACGCACGCACGCACGCACGCACGCACGCACGCCACCACCCACTACGCACGCGCGCGCGGAGCCACAAGTCCGCTACGACACGCGTCCGCGGATAGAGAAAATCAGCGCCATGGTAAGGGATGGGAGGGAGGGGTAGGACGTCAGATATGACGCGAGCGCACCTAGCTGGGCCTTCCCCCTCCCCATCCTCCCTCCTGCCTCCCCTTCCACGGTGTTGTGAGCCGTTTGGGCTCCGCCTGCGTGTGTGCCGAGAGAGCACGACGGGCTTTTGGGGCCTCTGGCAATCTCCGCGCGATTTCGGCTGGGACCCGAACTTCCGTCGCTGGGAACACGAATCACACACAGTCGGTTAAGCCATGGGGAAGGACCCCAAGGGCCGCCAGCGACGCAGAATTCTCGAGGTGCCTGAGGGAGAACCCTGGCCTGTTCTTGGCCAGCCTGTGCAGCCAGGTCTTCAGACTCGGGCAGGAGTGTGGTCCATTCCGCCGCCACCGCCGCCTTGCGTCTAGCAGCCTCGGCTTCGGCGGACGGCACCTCGGCCTTGCCCTCAAACCTGTCAGCGTACCAGTGCCGATTCGAGGCAGAAGAAGCAGGTGCATGAGGTGTATGATACCAAGGTGGGCTGGACAGCGTGTAGCATGTGGGCTTGGGCGTCTAAGCTGCCAATGTAGAGGAGCACTTGCTTGTGCGGAGCGCCTGGTGGCAATCCACTGGTGCTTGGCAAGGATGAGGACCAAGGGCAGGGTAAGGCCAAGGACTCGGGTAAAGGCCCGGGCAAAGGAACAACCAACGCCATGCTTGTTCAGCTCGAGGCCCTGACCAAGGCAAAGCCAGGCAGGCAGCAAGCGTCGGCGGAGAAGCTGTTACTTGATCCTCAGGTGGCGGAGTCGGCGGTCAAGATTCCCTTTTTGCCTACCCGACGGGTAACGGCGGCGGCGGCCAAGGTCCAGCGGGCACAGGTGGCCTTCGACAATGCCAGAACGAACAAGTTGAAACGTACATTGGAAATCGAAAAGACTTCGGAGGAACGCTGGCCGCTGCAGAGAAGGAACGGGCCGACCTCTTTGAGCCGATGGTCCGTTACACTGACGAGAGGCTGGAAGTCCTCAGGCACGGCGGCCGTTGACTTGGGGCCCCTTGTTGTGCATGGCTGAGGGTTCATTCAATCCCGACATGTTCAAGACGTCCCTGGGTCGGACTTTGCGAATGATGATGGCGTCATGTCTTCGGCTGGTATGGAAGAGCTCGGGTGCCGCAAGAAGGCGCTCGAGGTTTTGGCGGACACCATTCGAGCTACCTCTGTACCGCTCCAGTCGAGCCTGAAAAAGCATCGGGCAAAACTGGAGGAGGCCCGACAGACGGCCAAGAAGCGGAAGGCAGCCGAGCAGCAGGGGGCGGCCCCGGCCCCAGGCGCCGGCAGCGGCGAGCGCGGCCGAGAGCCCGGTGGACGCCAGTGGAGCCTCCAGCGCAGCGCCCAGCGTGGGTGGCGGTGGCGTTGACAGCCTCAAGGAGAGGCTAGAGGCCACCGATGAGGGGGCCCAGGGACACACACACACACATACAATAAGTACACACACAACTCCCAGGATTCCCCACATCTTCTCATTTTTGGGGGATTTGCGTCTTCCCCCCCCCCACTTCCCACATTTTCCATATGGGGAACCGACGATTCATTGTGTCTGTGTGTTTTTTCCCCCTCCTGGACCGAGAAGCGTCTGACTGAGGAGGCTGAGCGGTGGTCGGCCGGAGAGCCCGCCGCGCGGGCGGCGAGTCGGCATTCGAGGGGATCGGAACCAGACGCTCGACGCAGGCAGGCCGCGTCTTGCGGCGGGGGTCGACAAGGGCCTCCCAGATGGGGTCGTAGGATCGCGCCGCATCGCCAAAGCGTCGCCGACGTATTGGCGATGCATCAGCGATGAACTGGCGACGTCGGCGGTGCGTCGGCGACGTGGGCGTGGAGAAAATCGGGCCCCGCATCGAGCCGCATAATCAATGCCTCGGCGATGCGGGGCACCTCCGACCCCGTCTGCTCGGACCCCATCTAGGAAACCCAGAGTGGCGTGGGTCGAGAGGCCGACGCACATTCCCTGCCTTGTTCTCCCGGTCGTCGGCCGCTCGTCACGGAGGAGGCCCAGGGACGCACACAACTAGATACACACAGATCCCAGGATCCCCCGTATTTTCCTATGTTTTCGGGGCTTTCGTCTTCCCCCCCCACTTTCCCACAGTTTCCTATATGTTGTAGGGAATCGACGATGAGTTGTGCCTGTGTGTTTCTGTTTCGGTAGGAGGAAACAATTAGTAAACACCCCCCCTGCCCCCCAAACTCAAAGTTGGCACGCGCGGGGGAGACTGCGGTCGAGGTGCAACTCGTCAGACCCATCGCCAACCTTGAACATTGGGGGGAGGGGGAGGCGTTGACAGATGAATGTGGCATGAGTGCTCACTATTCCCCAATCAGAGCTTGCCTCTCTAGGGGTCCTAACGGATTCATATGGTTAGGTTAGGTTTGTCGCCGATTTTCGCTGCACGCCCGGGTGCCCGGGTGCCCGGGGGTGCCCGGGGCCCGGGTGCCCGGGGGGGGCCCAGGGGGGCCCGGGTGCCCGGGCGTGCCCGGGGGGGCCCGGGGGGGCCCTATAGCCATATAGCCCTATAGCCCTAAGCCCTATAGCCCTATAGCACTATAGCCCAATAGCCCTATAGCCCTATAGCCCTAGAACTATGTAGCCCTATAGCCCTATAGCCCTCTAGCTCAATAGCCCTATAGCCCTAGTTAGCCCCGTAGCCCTATAGCCCTGATAGGTTTTTCTCTGGTATCATTGGAGTTCCGGAGGATAAGGAAGAGGAGGAGGTGCTGGGGGAGGCAGCGGAGAGCACTTGAGCTTCCAAAACCCAAACAACAAAAATAAACAAACATACATGGTGCGCTTCCTTGGACCCTAGACCAACAAAAGCAAGAAACACCAACAAAAAACACACAGCGCTTCCTTGCACCAGGGGCGCCACAAATGCACAGCGCTTTTCCTCGCACCGAGGCCCGCTTCCCTCCGAGCCCTGCTGCGCGC